GTGAAATTGACTTTGAGTGCTACAGAATGTTTTGGGGATCGTTTTGTTTGGATTTCTCCTAATGGCTATTGAGACGGGATATGATGGGAATTTTGTCTGGGTTTCCCAAGCTTGGAGCAGACGATCGTTGTGTTTTTCTCTTTCCTTTGTGATTTTTCTTTCCTTCTCATTAGCTTTATTTGCTCTCTAAACTTTCTTCCGTCATTAGCGTTTGTACTCTTTATTTGAATTTTTAATAAAATTTTAACCTAAAAAAAACCAAATATGGGGAGATAGGACAGATTAACCTCTTTACCCGTTCACCTTTCTTCAGGTATGCCATTCTCCAACGAGATAGTTGGGCTTCTGTTGATGAGAAAAGCTGCGGTGTTCACTGCATCCGTCCAAAACTTCTTTGGTAAGCCACTTTCAACCTCATGCATCTGGCCCGCTCATTCAGTGTTCTTTTCATGCGTTCAACAACGCCATTATGCTACGGAGTCCATTTTGTTGTCTTCTCCATACGAACCTCATTCTCAGCACAAAACTTCTTGAGCTCATGCAATTCATACTCACCTCCATTGTCAGACCGAAGGCACATCAACTTCAGACCTGTCTCCGTTTCAACAAGGTCCTCCTAAGGATGTAACTTCTGCAGGCCCCCAAAGGTCGGTGTGAACTAGTTCTAGCTTATGTGATTTTATAGCTCGTCTACCTTTGGAGAAACTGACACGCTTCTGTTTCCCGAGTATGCAGTCCTCGCATAAGCCAACTTCAACAGTCTTCAGGCCAGGTAATTTTCCCTTCGAGCACAGCTCCTTCATCCCCTTTTCGCTCATGTGACCAAGACGACAGTGCCACAAATTCATACCGTTTGTTGCAGCAGCAACAACATCAATGCAGTCTTTCGAGTTCATTGTCATGTACAACGCACCATCCTTCTTCCCTTTAGCAATCAACAAGGCTCCTTTGGTTATCTTCCAATTTCTGCTACCGAATGTAACTGCATAACCTTCTTCATCCAGCTGCCCAATTGAAAGTAAATTTCTCCTCAAACCAGGTATGTGCTGTCAGACAACATTTAGTTTCAGCGTGCATCCATTGGGAGTTTTCACATGGACTGTTCCCTTTTTTTTTTTTTTGGATAACATGTAAGTATATTAGAAACCGTCCAAAGAGTTTATCTGTACAGCCAAAATATGAGCAAAAACGTAGGCTATCCAAATATTGGATAACCCATCACCTGCCAAAATAAGGGAGCCATAGCAGCCCCCCTATACTACCTCACGACCAATCACAAACAGAAACGGTGATGGGCGGACAGTTATGAAAGTACTACCAAATCACAAGGATAAATGCTATACAAAATTTGAAAGACAATATATTTTATCCTAGCAAAAACATCCTCCTCTTTAGGCAAAAATCCATCAAATATAGCTGCATTCCTGACTCTCCAAATCCAGTAAATGGTGCAAGAGAAAGCAATCCTAGCAGCCTTGGCTTGCACATTAGCTCCGCTCCTTTCCTTCTTGATCCATTTGACCGAGCTAGCTAGGGTCCCCATCATCCGTGGAATGCCAATCCAAGCTTTCATCATAGTCCAGACCTTACCTGAAAAAGGGCATTCAAAGTAGAGGTGTGGAACCGTTTCCGGTCCACCCTTGCACAATACACAAGTATTATCCACATCTAATCTATGAAGATTATCACATGTGGCTAACCTATTCCGGAATGCCAACCAAGTAATAAAGGAAAATTTGGGAGGGATGTAATCTTTCCAAATAAATGGCATCCACACACGGGTGGCAGCCCTAGTCCTAAGCAAATTATAAACCTTGGAGGATACAAGCTTGCCATTGAACTGAAGAGCATTTAGGCCAAGTATAGCGCTCGGAATGTCCGGGAATTTGGAGAGTATTTCATCTCGGATTAGTGCAATCTTCTTAAATAGTTGTGAATCTCTTTCGTGTGGGACAAACTCCCACACACTCCTGCCCTTTAGATAAACCCCATGTACCCACTTGACCCAAAGTGTGTCCTTTTTAGTGTGTATATCCCAAAAAGTTTTGGAAAGTAAATCCTTGTTCCATACCTTCGTGTCATGTATACCAAGTCCGCCTTCTTCTTTCGGTGACTTGAGAACTTGTGGACTGTTCCCTTTCCGACAATTTTAAGAGGCTAGTCATCAGCAAGATACACCTCTCCAAAATTGCCGAGAGTATACTATTCCATCACTTCAACATTACCACATGAATGGAACGAAGCTCCAGAATCTAAAAACCATGATTCCAACGGACTTCTCACGCTCAAGATCAGGAGATCATCACCAGAAGATTCAGTTGTTGCATTGACCGATGTCTTCTCCTTTTGATCTTTGATATGCACCTTGCATTGGTTTTTGAAGTGTCCATACTCTTCGCAGTTCCAACATTTGATCGAGCTTCTGCCCTTCTTACCCTTACTGTTTAATTTGGATTTTGATCTTGATCTTTGTCGATTTGATTTTGACTTCGACTTCGTTCTGCCCCGATTCTCTGTACTCAATGCCGATCCAGAAGCCACACCTGATTCCTTCCTGCGAATTTCTTCGCTCACAACTAGATTCCTGACTTCATCGAATTTCAACTTCTTCTTCCCTGCTGAAGCACTAACTGTAGTAACCGTTCCGTTCCAACTTTCTAGTAGAGAAGACATCAAAATTGGGGCTTGAATCTCATCATTGAATTTGATCTCAACCGCGCTCAATTGCGTGGTTATTAAATTGAACTCGTTGAGATGTTGTACAACTGCTGTGCTTTCTGAAATCTTTAGGTTAAAAAGACGCCTCATCAGATGAACCTTGCTTGCAGCAGATGGTATCTTGTACATATCTGACAATATCTGCAACATCTCCTTCGTTGTTTTGGCTTTGACGGTGTGGAGAGTGATGTTTCTGGTCAGCGACAATCGAACCACGCTCATTGCCTTCCTGTCCAGCAATTTCCAATCTCCCTCCTTCATGTCTTCCGACTTGTCATCCAGGGGTTGATACATATCTTTACCATACAAGTAATCTTCAATCTGCATCTTCCAGAAATCGAAATCCGTTCCACCAAACTGCACCAACGGTGTCTTCAAATCTGCCATTGTATTGATCCCTTTGAACCGCTCTGATACCAATTGTTAGGAATTAAATTACGCAATACGAAAAACAATATGAAGAACACACGAAATTTGGTAACCCAGTTCGGCACGAATGACTAAGTGTGGGGGCGTTACCAAGCCATGATATTGCTATTAATTTTCGGATCCTCGAGATTACAAGAGAGAGAACTTGTATTTATAAAGAGTAAAACCTAACCCCAAAGCAACTAGGACGCGCGACCCAAATAGTACGGAAACTCGCGGCCCATCAGAAACGGACCCAAAAAAATTTGCCAGGGGCTACCCCCGGACCCCGTGGGGGGCTACTGCCCCTACCCTCTTCCAACTCCTCGTCGAGTTAGAAACGCTGACAAGTGTTGTAGAGATGAAGATGTGGGTTTGGACGGATAAAGTATTCAACCACACATGAAGGTTCGGGGGAGAATTCAGAGGTTTCTCAAGGGTTACACATAGTGAGATGAGAGATGAACAGTCGGGTTGAGGAAGGTGAGATGAGAGATGAAGGGTCAGACGAGAGGAAATGAGAAGCGACGGGTAAAGTGGGAGAGAGAGGAGAGAGGTATAAGGATGAAATGATTATAGCATTTTGGGTGATGGTATTTTATAGGGGTGGGCGCGGTCCGGAACGGTCCGGTAAACTAGTAAACCCGTAATGTATCCGTTAAGTTTTTAACGGTCCGGTTTCAGGGATGGAACCGTTCAGTACCATGCCGTTTCAGAACGGTACAAAACGATACGGTACAATGCCAAACACATGCTAGAAATTTTGAACAAATCTTGCAATTAGTAGATATCTTCACACCAACCAACTCACATGAAATGTTGATATAAATACAAGAAATTGCATACGTATTACTAAAGTTTACAAATACACAAATAGTGCAACACACCTAAGAAAAAGTATAGTAAAATGATGACGCACGAGATAAATATCATCTTTAATTTACTAAGTTCATGTGAAAATATAAAAAAGAATATCGTCAAATTGTTGAATACTCCGTATAATAGAAATCTTCAATGTTCTTCTTCGTTCTAGGTTAAATATTTCTCTGTAGTTGTAATTTAATTTATAGTTGAAACTTGAGAGTTAAGATTTAAACCATATTAGTTAAGTTGTAAAATTGTGCAAACATGACACTACAAAAGGTCATGTACACTACATTACTAGAAATGATCAAATGAATAGTCCTTAAAGATTTCTGAAATTTTAATATTCTTTCAATACATATCAAAATATAACATAAATTATCTAATGGTATATCATATATAACATAAATTATCTAATGGTATATCAAAATATAACATAAATTATCAATATATATATATATATATATATATATATATATATATATATATATATATATATATATCATATAATATAAACACACATTTAGCTAGTTTAGGAACGCATGAATACATTCTTGGGCAATAAAATTGTTTGTCTATAAAAGAGATCTATTGGTATAGAAAAATATAAAAATTCAAATGCATTATTTTCGAACGGTTCGGTCCGGTATTTTTCGGTTCTCAAAATCTAGGACCGGTCCCGTACCCGTTTCAAACGGTTCGGTTTCAGTACGAGACAAAAATCTATAGAACCGTTTAAAATACCCGGTATTCCGTTCGGTACCATTACGGGACGGCTCGGTACCGGTTCGGTTCGTGTTTTATGTCCACCCCTAGTATTTTAGGGAGTACTTGAGTAATGGGTTGTCTAAAATAGAAATGAGACAATTTTTTCGGGACAGACCAAAAAGGAAAGCATGATATTTATTTCGGAACGGAAAAAATATTCATGAACAAGATTATTATACGTGAATTATACGTTTGAATGTATTATATGCAATTAAACTAACTACTATAGTAAAAGTTACGTAGTAAAAGAGATCGGGAATTCAGCAACTGACGTCGTATGATTCGTATCTCCCCTCGCCTTGACTTTTGGTTGAGTCTTCGTTTTTCTGGTTCCTCTTCTTCTATGTACCATTTTCTGCTACTACTACGCTGAAAGAACCCTCTGCACTTAGATCTTTCTCCTCGCATAATCGATCTCAGACGTTAACCTATTTCACATTGTTTATTCTGATCAAACCACGACCCAAAGTTCAGCTCTTGTTTTGATTCCTTCTTAATACTGAGTGGTATCAAATGGCGCGGAGCAGATCACTGTCGAGTAAGTGGAAGTACGTAAATCCGGCGTACTATCTCAAACGGCCGAAGCGTTTGGCTTTGCTCTTCATAGTCTTCGCGTGTTGCTCATTCTTCTTTTGGGATCGCCAAACTTTAGTTCGCGAGCACGAGGTAATTTTTTGTTTGCTTGTTTGGCTTTCCTAATTTTAGTAGAATTCTTTATGTAGCTAGCCTTTCTGGGGTGTGCAAAGATTATACCTTTGTTAAATTTCTTAACTTACAATGTAGTGATAGTAATCTGTACTTCTGTAGCATCATGATTCAGGGCATCTTTTTTATGTTAGTAAAGTCAAAAACTTGATGAAAGAACGTGATCTTAGTCTAATACGGAGTATATTTCTCAGTTGTTGTTGACAAGATCTCTCTTTCCATAGTGATAGACTGATTAATTGGCTGACTGCACTCTACTTATGTAGGTTTCGTTTTGCAAAGTTAAGTTGGGATTGTCTAACAAGCACCATATTTTTATTTCAACTTTAATTATAGGAGTGCTACAACTTTATGTTTTTAATTGTACATAAGTTGTCATGACTCGCAGGCGGAGATCTCCAAGTTGAATGATGAAGTAAACCGGTTGCAAAATTTGGTAAGATGTTTAACCATATTCTTTTAAGATTCTATATTTTGGAGGGATATTCAACAAACTTTCACCCCTTTCATTTCATAAGTACTTGCACAGTTGCACAAGCCATTACTGACATGATCATTTAGATGCATTTACTCATTTGCTGCAATTATTTGGATTAATAATCATTAAATTCCAGGTTGGGGAACTAAAGAGTGGTCGAGTAGTTCCCGATGAAAAGCTGAATTTTGGTGTCAAAAGTGATGATACAACTAAGAAAAAAGAGGTATTAGATGATTCCCTTGATTCTCAGAGAAGAGAGAAAGTAAAAGATGCAATGCGGCATGCCTGGAGTTCTTATGAAAAGTATGCATGGGGTCAAGATGAGCTTCAGGTGTGGTTCCTATTATGACTAGTAGAATTTATTAAGCAATATATATTCACACATGGATTGTCATATATGTTGCAAAGTACTACCTCTGTACCAAAAAAGAGTCTGGTTCACCAAGTTGCAACTTTTAATACTAAGAAGGTGCAGCTATGGGAAGTCATTAACTATAGCTATATTTTTGAAGTGATTTGTTGGCTTAACTAAATATGACATACTAAACTTGTTTTTATCACACATATTTTATGAAAGAATACAATAACTATAAGAAATTGTTTTCTTTTGCGAATATGATTCTTTTTTTATATAACTAAGTTTTTGAATCTGACTGTCTTTTTGAAACAGAGGGAGTATCTGATAACTCTGTACTCTTCAGTAGTTTCTCTGTGAGCTTAATATTCAACGCAGTTTTGATCAAATTGTTGTCTATAATTTTTTTGCTTCCCAGCCTCAATCAAAGAGCGGGGTTAACAGCTTTGGTGGCCTTGGTGCAACTTTAATAGATTCTCTTGATACACTTTATATCATGGGACTGAATGAGGAATTTCAAAAGGCCAGGGAGTAAGTTTATTTTTTATTTACTCCAATATTTCACTTCCGTGAGTTCATGTTGTTCAATTTTGTTGATGAAATATTTGCATCCTTACTTTTCTCATAAAGCAAGAATCAATTTATAGTTTTTTCTCAATGTTCATTACTTTGTCTTTTATTGATTCCATGTGTGGAGAAACATGTGATATCCTGAGCTGTTTCAATGCTTTTGACTCAATTGATACAATCATTATTTCCCGTCATAATCTTAGACCTTGAAACAAATATATTGATATTTTTATATTTCCAAAGTGGTTAGATATTTAATCAATATCATCTCTGCCTTGTAATCTTTTATAATTTATTTAGATTCTTGCTGCAAATTTGGTAAGTGAATGTGCTGAGATTGCTGATGTTTTGGAAAAAATGGCTGAATCCACAGAAACATCAAATAATGATGTGAAACAAACTATACTTTTCTTAAGAAAAGTCTGCCAATTCAGTTACAAAAGTACATTTAGCTTTACTTTGATTATTACACAATTCAGCATGTGAAATAAAAAACTGGTCCACCAAATGGGCACTAAATCTGCTGGGGCTTAAGATTTAAGACTTCAGTCATATTGTGTTATTACTTACTAAAAGACCGTTTTGCTATTAACGGACAAATTGTACATGACAGGTGGGTTGCAAGCTCCTTGGATTTTAACAAGAACTATGACGCTAGTGTTTTTGAGACAACCATAAGGTTGCTTTATAAGGTTTACTATGCCTTTATATGTTTTGTTTCTCATTCCTTATCAGTCAAAGCTCTAAATCATTTCTTGACTTTTCTCTCCTCTGTTGACATATGACCAATCTTTTGGTTATTGATTTGTCATGCTCAAATATCCAGAGTTGTAGGTGGACTTCTTAGTATATATGACCTCTCAGGGGATAAACTTTTCCTAGAGAAGGCTCAAGACATTGCTGACAGACTATTGCCTGCATGGAACACCCCTACCGGAATCCCTTATAACGTAATCAACTTGGCCAATGGGAATCCACACAACCCTGGATGGGCAGGGGTAAGTTGCGGACACATTTGTAATTTTTATTATCCTATATATTCTTTGTAGTAATTTTTCTGTGAGTCTGTAACATTATCTGCTCTCAGGGTGATAGTATTCTGGCAGATTCCGGTACTGAGCAGCTTGAATTTATTGCTCTTTCTCAAAGGACAGGAGACCCCAAGTATCAGCAAAAGGTATGCATAGCTGAACTGTTAGCTTATACTACGTAGTTAATTCTAAAGTGGGGAGGGGAAGGGGGCTAGGCCATGCTGCTGGTTTCGGTTGGTTCATTTTGTTTGGTTTCGGGTTTCAGTTCTTCTAATACGGGGTGGAGAATGATATGCCAAATTAAAATCAAACTATTGTTGGGTTTTATTTAGTTCATGTTCGGATTAGCATGCTCTTAAAAAATTTACCAAACTAAAACTGGATTGCACATGGGCTGGTTTTGGTTCGGATTAGTTTGTCAGACGGTCAAACCAAATCAAAACGCTCACTCTTAGAATTGGAGGATGATAATGGAAAAAGTTAAAAAGATACTCTGTATTATGTTTGGTTCTCTAGAGAACTGAGTAATTATAATTTTAGAAAAACATTTAATATAATATAGTTTATATAATTTTTCTAAATAAAATATACATAGTAATTTGTATATTACTATATTAAGCATTTAAGTGTATGCCAATATAGTTTAGAACAATTTTAGTAAGGGGAAAAATAAATTTAGAAAAGATATACCCGGAATTGGTGGGATAGTGATATGGTGAGTTTAGAAGAGTCTTTAGCTCATTTACTTATCTTTCCTCCAAAGCCCTCCAGTGAAACAAGGGTTTAATGCTTCCTTATTGTCTTAACCTAAGAATAATGAAAAATAATTTGGATCATCATATATGCCGTTATGAATTTACTTTAGATTTGTATTAGCAATGTAATATGATGTTGCACTGCTTGGTGTACACATAGGTATACATCATCTGGTGATGAGCTGAAGACTAATAGTTGCCTTGGTATTTCAGGTGGAGAATGTTATTCTTGAGTTGAATAAAACTTTTCCTGATGATGGGTTGCTTCCAATCTACATAAATCCACATACTGGGTCCAAATCATATTCAACCATTACATTCGGGGCCATGGGGGACAGGTAATTCCTCTCTAAAGTAATGATCTATACTTCAGTATGTGTTGTATGAACATGCTGACATGAGAAATAGTTTACCTCAAGGCTTCAATCTATAATGTATTCCAATTCCAATTTGTTGAAATACATTATGGCCACAGTTTAGCCTTTACTCCATTTTCCCAACAAAAGAGTTTTGTTTAAATGTTTAGATAATGTACAACTTTTTATTTTTAATCGACTCAATCAAGGTAGAAACTTTTACTAATTATGAAAGGTAACATATATCCCTAACATTTATTTCCGAGATTGTTCGGAATAATGTGCTATATGCCTTTATCCGCTCAGTGCTTGGCTTTAGTGGAGTTATACTTTAAAATGAAAGTTAACTTTTGAAAAGAACTCCTTTCTTGGGATAAAGTAAGTTCTCGGAATAATATTTTATTTGGGGTGTAAGGAGTCTGATTCTTGATTGTGAATAGGCTGTAGTAACTCAAGTTACCCAAAAAGTATTGGTTACTGTGAGCCAAAAAGTGATGTAGGATCCTTAATTTAGATGCACTGTTCAACATGAGGCGTAAGTGGATTATTTAATCTGCAACTCTGTTATCTCAATAATCTGATTCAAGCTTTACAAAAATGGTACATCATTAGATTCTTTTAAATTGATATCTAATGGACAGTTTTATTCCAGCTTTTATGAATACTTGCTCAAGGTTTGGGTTCAAGGAAATAAAACGGAAGCTGTAAGGCATTACAGGTATGCAACTTCCCTTTCTAACTGCCTTTCCTTGATAGATTAGATTAGGATACACATGGACTTCCAATCCTATGATTCTTATGAACAAAATGACCAACTAAAATGCAGAGAAGGAAAATGGAGGTGGTGAAAACAATTAATCTAGGGTGATTGGTTCAATGAAAGAGTGGGAAGGACCGAAGGATTTAGCATATTGATTTTTTTTTTGAAACACTGTATTTTGATATAATGTTTGTTGTAACTAAGCTTCATATCATAATGTACGGAGTATTAGTCTACATGCATAACAACAATAATACCGTAAAATAATTTTGGTAAAAAAAGGTGAAAGAAATTAAGAGTTAAAGTTCCCCCAAATCCCTCAAATTGGGGGAGTTATATACGAGTCTGGTGGATATGATGGCTACTCCCAATTTATGTCTGGCTTCCCTATTTAATCCCTTTCAACTCCATTAGTTTTCCTCCACTGTCCTCTGAAATCCTCCAACAACATGGGGCTAAAACTTTTGACATTTTTAGTCCTGGAGTATTTAGGAGGCGTAGGTTGAAATTTGGGCAATTTCATCACTAATGGATGTGATTTACTTGTCTTCTGTTGAGCTAAACAGAAACGTAATGTATAGTGAGTGACTTTTGCCAAAGTGATGTAACAAATCTTCCTCAAGTGCAATATTCATGTATCGGTTAAATATTGGAAACAGAAAAATGTGGGAGACTTCAATGAATGGCCTTCTTAGCTTAGTTCGAAGGACTACTCCTTCATCTTTTACATATCTGCGTGAGAAGATTGGAAGCTCTTTTACTGACAAGGTGACTTGTTATTAATCTTCTTTTGGGCTGGTGCCTTTTCTTCTTCTTCAACCGCTCTATCTATTTCTCATTTTAAAGTCATGTTCCATTTTTTTCGCAACTGGTTTGCAGATGGATGAACTTGCATGCTTTGCTCCAGGCATGCTAGCCTTAGGGGCTTCTGGTTATGGTCCCACAGAATCACAGAAGTTCTTGTCTCTGGCAGAAGAGGTATTGTTGTAGTGTTATGTAGAATTCTGAAGTATCATCCTTTCCCCCCTAGAGAAATATCATTCAGGTTTTGTAGTATCAAGAAAACCAATTCTTGATAAATAAAGATTCTTTATGGAACAACTGTCAGCGATGGTCAAGATGGATTTGAAAGATGAGGCTGGTTACTCAATTACTACACATCAATCTGAACCTTCCCTGTAGAGTTACTACAGTGGATCAGGGTCCATGTTTTTATCGAGTCCAATATCTCATTTAGGAGTGTACGCCATTTTCATGGTGAATGTATAGATCCTGGAAATGCCAAGGAAAAGAAAAGGAGGAGTTATTTTCTGTCTTGGTTTTACCACACAGTAAATACAAAGGAAACTGGTGTATATTTTTGCTTAATTTTTTACATATGTTTAGATTCCTTAGTCTCAATACAATAGAAATAAATAAATAAAATGAGTTTGAACAAATCTGAAAAATAGATTCATCCAGTTTGAACCAATGTTTTACACTTTTACTTGCCGCAATGTTTCTTTCCAAATTCTTTGCCTGAAATATTCCGAGTTCCAAATGGACCCATAAAGCTCCATGATTTGTAAACATTGTCATGGTTTTGCAGCTTGCTTGGACTTGCTATAACTTCTACCAGTCAACACCTACAAAATTGGCCGGAGAGAACTACTTTTTTCATGATGGGCAGGTTGGATTTTATTGTTCCTATCTGATCTTATTAATAAAAAACATGTTTTAATTGTTTTTTAGTTTGATATTCTAAGCAGCTTCAAAGGAGTTTAAATATTTTTATTGATTATTACTTTGCTTATTACAAGGATATGAGTGTGGGGACATCATGGAACATACTGAGGCCTGAGACGGTTGAATCACTGTTTTATCTTTGGCGTTTAACTGGGAACAAGACTTATCAAGAATGGGGTTGGAACATATTTCAAGCATTTGAAAGGAACTCTCGCGTAGAGGGTGGATATGTAGGATTAAAAGATGTAAGATCTATGAACCAATCCATGCAATTTTATTGTTTTACATTAGATATATATGTTATTCAGTGTTTTTTTGTAAATAATCATATTGCCTAGACAAAGCTAGTCCTCCCGCATAGGAACTGTGCACGGTGCATGCCCTTATAATTTGAAATAATTCTAAAGTAATAATGGTTAGGATGAAATTGCTAGAAATTTACTCCATTATTCTTATTAATAAGCTCTCCCAACCAAACAGAGCTTATTAAAAAGTAGAAAAGCCTATAGGTACCTTATAAGCTAGCTTTTGTCATGCCAAACAAAATCTTGATTTAAGATAGCAATGTGGATTGAAGCTCCTCCTATATAGGGTCTGTTTGGCATTCAGAGCTGAAAAACTAGCTGAAAGCTGACAAGACAATTAGTTGACAATTGGAACTTGTAATTGGTGATAAAAGTGTTTGGTAGAATTAGCTAGAGTGACGAATTGATGTAAAAAGTCCTAAAAGAGCATTCCTTATATTGCTTACAGAGAATAAATGATGTATTGTTATTTTGTTTAAGGAATATATTTTGTTCTTTAAAATTTGATCATTATCATATATGAGTTTGAAACTTTGAATGTGCTGAAAGTGTAGAAGTTATGGCTTCCTTATGGAAATTTGTAATTAAATTGTATCTTATTTAAAAAGTGAACAAAAACATAGATGGGAAAAACTGAAATTGTTCTCTTCTGCCAAAGAAGTACATTCAACACACACATTAACCAATTACATGAATACATGACAAAAAACTAAGAACTAGTTTTGTATACGCTCTAGGAGATAGCCATCAAATATGTGCTTATTTTAAATTCTTATGTATTGACCAAATAAGGCTGATATAACTTATTTAGAGAATAGAATAAACTAGAAGTTCTTCACCACCTACAGAGTTCTTATATGCTGTGGCTTTTCATAGGTTAACACCGGCGTCAAAGACAACATGATGCAAAGCTTCTTCCTCGCGGAGACACTTAAATACCTTTATCTTCTTTTTTCTCCGCCTTCTGTGATTCCTCTTGACCAGTGGGTTTTCAACACAGAAGCCCACCCTCTTAAAATTGTTTCCAGGTATGATGACCAAACAGTGACTTCTGGACATCACATACCACAACGCAAGTCGCGTAGCAGGAGAGAAGGGCAGTTTGTCAATTAGTAATTCAGTAGATATACGGAACTCCACATTGATCTTTTCACAAACCATAGATCTAATCGCTTTGTTGTATACGAAGAAAACGTTTGATGAACCAAAGGAAATCATGTGAAAAATAATGCTAACCTCCACTTTCCAGATTGGTGGCAGTGTACTGAAATTCTATTTAGGTTGCCATTTGGTTATTTATTAATTCTACATTTCTACCATGGAAGGAAGCTGAGGTTTATGTTAACATCAGAGACAGAATGTAGGCTTATTCAACATTGCGTTATTGAAATTTTTGTGTTTTTTCTTTTGTTGTTGGGGTTAAATGTCTGTGTTCTTTCCTTTATTGTTTCCACAATTAATTCCAATTCCTTAAATTTGCTAATAGAGCGAACAAGTAGAATAAGGGGTTGAGCTGGTTCTGGAACCAGATAACTTGGGATTGTTTATATTCGGGATCGGTCCGATATGTGTACAGTTTTTATTTCTCTAAAAGGTCCTGGTATTGATCATAGTTATTTATTTTTTAATTAGGCTATAAAATTGGATCAGAAGTCAGAACTAGTTCAAGAACTTGACCTTAGTCACCTTATCTGGAAATTTTGGTCCCGGTCCAAAATCAGATCTGCCCTGAACCCACCTGAAGAGTGAAGAGTATAAAACTAAATGAATAGTGAGTATACTTAGGGGTGGAGCCGGGTCAGTCCGGTTCTGGACCAGGACCTGGCTGGTCCCGGCCAGTCCCGTTCTAAATAATTGAGCCCCAGTACCGGCCTTGTTTGTTCAGTACCAGTTCTTGTCTGATTATCCGAGTACCCGGCCGGGCCTCGGGCCAGTCCCGGGTCAGTTGGTCGGGTCACGGATCACCCCACCCTTTAAATATTATTTTTTTAAAAAGGTGTCTGTTGGGACCGGAACCGGGACTGGCCGGTCTATTACCAAAAATCAGAGTTCGAGCCCGTCTCGCTTTACATTCGGGTCGGGTACCGAGCCGGTATCGGTAGCGGAAAACTGTTCCTGGGCCGGTTCAAACATTACTGGCCCTGGGTCGGGCCACCCTGACCTTTTTCATCCCTAAGTATAGTGCCTGACTGCCCGGCATCCGGCGATACTTCTCAATTAACTTATTCGTAAAGATAATTATTGATATACACATTTTTTGTACATGTCATTTGTTTTGTTTGTTTATATCAATGGTTTTCAAAGTTTTTCCTTATTTAGTCGAATGCATTTACAAAATTTGTATTTGAAATTGTTGTACTCAAATCCAAAACCCGTAATTTGAAATCCCATAGAAACCTGTAATCAATTGAGTTTATTGTGATTGGACATCTCATAGGAACATGTAATTACTCAGATTCGGTAATTATATTTTTGAGAATAACAATGATAAGAGGCAGATGTTGATCACTTCTTTTTTTAATCGTAGCAGGGGTGGAGCCGGGTTAATTAATCCCCACGTGTTAATTTAGTTGTGAATCAAGAAATTTCACAACCTTTTGTTCTCCATTGGGTTACACTAAAGGGGAAATTTTATGGAGTTTTATGAGGTTTCATATTTTTTTGAATACTAAAGCCAAGTCAATCATCCATTTATTTTAATTCCATACTGGCATTATAAAGCAAACGTTCTTATGTATATCGACCCAGCATATAATAATAATAATAATTATTATTATTATTATTATTATTATTATTATTATTATTATTATTATTATTATTATTATTATTATTGTTGTTGTTGTTGTTGTTGTTGTTGTTGTTATTATTATTCATATACTTATTAATAAGAATGTGAATACTAATAATAACACAACCTATGGTGTAATATTTATAATGGTAATTAAATTATACTCCGTAATTAATACTATGTGTAAAATGGTATATAATATTTATATTGGAAGGGCACAGAGCAATCTCTACAATGGTAAGTCTAGACACGTTCGTCGTAGACATAACACCATTAAACAACTCCTCACAACGGGTGTTATCACTGTTGACTACGTGAAGTCAAAGGATAACATAGCGGATCCGCTAACCAAGGCATTGGATAGAGAATTGTTGGAGAAGTTGTCACGAGGAATGAGATTAAAGCCCGTGAATTGAAAAGTTCTATAGTGGATACCCAACCTAGTTGGTCCTAGGTTCAAAAGGGACATCTAAATTATAGAGCGAAGGATGGTCACTGTGGGGGTCCCGGACTCCTACCCACTCCTCGTTGAAACAGTGACTCCTGCATGAGGTTAACAAAAACGTTTGCTTTAATGATTCTAAAATGTTGATGTACTCGATAACATTGGAAGAGTATGCGGGATACTCGTGAAAGAATCACCTATGTGAGAGAGAAGAGGGCCGCTTCAAAGGAGAACTGTAAAGGCTCAATTCTTTAGAAACTCTTGCAGAACCAGGACGGTGATTCATGGCCAAAATGGGCACACCCATGGGAACGGAACAAAGTTGGAAGGTTCTTGTGTAAAGAAAGAAGCAAAGAGAAAAGGAAGTATGTATGTGCAAAGGAGCAAAATAAAGGAGAAGTAGGATCGATACATCATGTACAATATGCCGATTCGGCGATTCCGTAGTATAATTTGCCTAAAAAGAGTAGATAGTTTGTAATTGGAAGTGTACATTTATGACATTCTATTCATTAGAAATACTTGCAATTGATAATTGTAATTAGTAAATAACAGAATATCATCCAGATGGCAATTGATTAGTTATAAATGGATATTTCTTAAATTGCAAGTCTTCTCAATAATCATTACCAACGCATCAAAGTAAAAAATATCTAATCTTATATCCTTTTAAAACCTTTTATCATACGGTGTGGGATTCATTTTAAATAGTACTCCGGAGACCATACTACCGTAGTGTGATGGATTTGAAGTTTATGGATTCAGCAGTAGATTTGATGAGCAAATCCTTCATTGATCGCTAGAGCTGCTGTTGTTTAAAAATCAGAACTAGTTCAAGAACTTGACCTTAGTCACCTTACCTGGAAATTTTGGTCCCGGTCCAAAATCAGATCTGCCCTGAACCCACCTGAAGAGTGAAGAGTATAAAACTAAACGAATAGTGAGTATACTTAGGGATGGAGCCGGGTCGGTCCGGTTCTGGACCAGGGCCCGGCTAGTCCCGGCCGGTTCCGTTCTAAATAATTGAGCCCCAGTACCGACCTTGTTTGTTCGGTACCGGCTCTTGTCTGACTATCCGAGTACCCGGCCGGGCCTCAGGCCAGTCCCGGGTCAGTTGGTCGGGTCACGGATAGGGGTGAGATTTTGGAACCGGGAACCGTAGAACCAATTGGAACCGAACCGTTAACAACATCTAGGAACCGAACCGTTAACAATTAATACTTCATTTGTAGGAACCGAACCGAAGCGGGTTATAACGGTTCGGTTCCCGGTTCCTATAAAAAATATGTGCATGGAACCGTTAAAGAACCGTTATTAAAAAAATAAAAAAATAAAATAATATAAGTAGTAGTAGTAGTAGCAATAGCAATAATAATAATATAATAGCAATAATAACCACCACCACAACAACTATAATAAAACAATATAAGATATTTAACTAACAATTCTAATTTAATCAACGAAAACGAAGTAATAAGTATTGTACATGAGATTGATATAATACATTAAACTCCTTTCTACAAATCAAGTTTTGTTTCATCACATAAATTTTATAAATATAAAATAACCCAAATAACTTGTAGTTGATTGCACATATTTTACTTTACTATTTTCATGATATTTCTAATTATTATATTTATTATGAATCTAACAATGTTTTTTATATCTATACATGCGAACTCAATGTATTTTTTATGTTTTGAAAGAGTTGAAGTAGGCGTCCTATTCTTGCTACTATGATGACGAGTAACCTTCATCGCTCCCATAGTCCCACACTACAATGCGAACTCAATGCATTTTTTATGTTTTGAAAGATTTGAAGTAGGCGTCATATTCTTGCTATTATGATGACAAGTAACCTTCACTGCTCCCACACTACTATGATTTTTATGTTTTATTTATTAAATGAAAATTTAAATCATCTTTTGTTCTATTAAGTGTTCACAGTTCATTAGTTAAGTTTGAACTTTGATGTTTGAAGTGATCAAAGTTTCCTGGGCCGGTTCAAACATTACTGGCCCTGGGTCGGGCCACCCTGACCTTTTTCATCCCTAAGTATAGTGCCTGACTGCCCGGCATCCGGCGATACTTCTCAATTAACTTATTCGTAAAGACAATTATTGATATACACATTTTTTGTACATGTCATTTGTTTTGTTTGTTTATATCAATGGTTTTCAAAGTTTTTCCTTATTTAGTCGAATGCATTTACAAAATTTGTATTTGAAATTGTTGTACTCAAATCCAGAACCCGTAATTTGAATTCCCATAGAAACCTGCAATCAATTGAGTTTATTGTAATTGGACATCTCATAGGAACATGCATGTAATTACTCAGATTCGGTAATTATATTTTTGAGAATGTGAAAAATGATAAGAGGCAGATGTTGATCATTTTTTTTATCGTAGCAGATGTTGATCACTTGATGCGATAGTTTATAGAAATATAAATTTTCTAAGATTATCCCCACGTGTTAATTTAGTTGTGAATTAAGAAATTTCACAACCTGTTCTCCATTGGGTTACACTAAAGGGGAAATTTTATGGAGTTTTATGAAGTTTAATATTTTTTGAATACTTTTTTGAATACTAAAGCCAAGTTAATCATCCATTCATCTTAATTCTATTCATCTTAATTCTATACTGGTATTATAAAGCAAACGTTCTTATGTATATCGACCCAACATATAATAATAATAATAATAATTATTATTACGTATTATTATTATAGTTATTATGATAATATTAGCAATCAGACATGAAATAATAATATTAATAAGAATGTGCAAACTAATAATAACACAACAACCTATGGTGTAATATTAATAATGTTAGTTATATTATACTCCGTAATTAATACTCCGTATTTTATGGTGTAATAATAATATTAGTGTTGGCCGCTTTCAATCCCACCCGACCCCATGTAATAATTATTGTTCAATATACTATGCATATTTTATTTTATAAAAGGTGGAATAGCTCACCCTAGGCATCCGCACAATGAGTCATTGTATGATCTCAAAACGGTTTCTGAGTAAGGTAATTCAGGGTATGAACTGCACAAAGAACCACCACATTGGATGAAACTCTCACACTATCGCTGTTCAGAATGAAATTTGAAACCTCAAATCAACAACATCACTCAGACACCATTGACCTACCGGTGCGGATAAGTTTAAATAAAAGCC